CCACACTCACACCCACCACACCCACACCACCACACACCCACACTCACACCCACCACACCCTCACCCACCCACATCCACATCCACACCCACACCCTCAAGATTTTGACTATGTACATATATCGTGAACATCTGTTTGATAATCAAACGAATTTCTCTTTACTTGTATTTAGTGTACAATTATTTTATTGAAAAAGAAAATAAAACTTTCACAATAAAGACCTATAAACTTTATTAATAACAAAAATCTTTATTGAAAGAAACTAACAAACCATTTGATGAGCTCATCCATTTTAAATATAGAGTTTTCATCAATTGACTTTGATCATTTTCACGTCTAATGTATCATCAGAAAACCAAGGAATCGGCATTTCAAGAATGAACTTTTTTTTCAATTGACAAATGCCATTTATTTATCAACTTTTTTTTTCCATTATTACTTATTGTGAAAGTTCTTTAACGGAGAAATGCAGCATCAAATCATAATAATTATGAGTAAAATCACATTATATAAATATTCATAATTCGATGGAAATATGTTAAATTTCAAGAAGAAAATGTTTCCACGTGAAAAATAGTAACAATGTACTGATTCGACATTAATCGAGTAAATTTTGGATATCTTTTAGTTCTAAATTATAGTGTCCACAATAATAAATACAGTTAGCGTTAAAATGCATATAGAAAGGCACAGTTAATGAGGCTCATTCATTCTTTCATTTAGAATTAAACTTTTCATTAAAAAAATATATTTTTCGCATGCTATTTTTTGAAACATTTATAAAGGGAAACATGAACTTTTTTTTCTGAGTATCAGAAGCTTCAATGGTTACTGGGCGATAAGAAACTGTAGTTAGGTTTGATGAAGTCGTTGACTGAGATGGTTTCATCATGAGTGTTCGCTAGAGACCTGCGAAGTCACATATTTCAACCCCGACTCCGAATATTTTTCCCGTAAATTAGCAAGTTTTTCGATATGGTGATGCGATGTATATGTGAGTCGGCAGATATTTTGAGTGTCAAAAATGAAATCAAAACTAATTAAGTCTGAAAATTTTTTGCGACCAAAGACACTTGAAAACGAATACTAAGCTCTTGTTACAAGAAGAAATTTTGAGTTCAAGTAAAAATAAATGCGGAAACCTCGGATTTAAATCCGAGAGTTATGTGTACTTCAAAAAGTGAATGAGACAGATGAGTCATCCTAGAATGTGTGGACATCCAAATTGTCTTGGCAAACCTTTTCTATAAACACTTAATTTCTATTGGCTACTGCTCAAGCAATAGGATTTGGAGGCAGATACAGCTCAGATTTGAACTCTTCATCTTGATTTACCCTAAGAAACTCGTTTTTTCTATAACTTGATTTCTATTGGTTACTCTTCAACCAATTGGATTTCGAGGCGAATGGAGCACAGATTCGAGTTCTTCACCCCAGAAAACCTCGAAGTATCATCTCTGTGATTGGAAGATAGGGCTCGAATTGTGAATCAATCAGAGCGTGGACAAAAATAGAACCGATTTCCGTGTAATTATCTTTGCAATAGGTGAGCTAGCTTTCTTCTTTCTTTATGTTTTATATACCATTTTGTAGCTCGTGAAATTCTCTATCGAATGGTGTATAATACTTGGGGTTTTATTTGACTATGATAGGAAAAGTTTTTTACGAAAACAGAGAAGGGTCTATCTTCCCATAGGGAAGCATAGGGAAAAATGACTATTTTTGCAATAACTCAGCCATGGCTCGGTCAATCATTCTCATCTTCGAACTCGACCGAGATATTGTTAAGACTAAACTGTGTAGAAAATTTCATCGCGATTGGACTGTTCTTTCAAAAGTTATCGTGTAAACGGCCGGATGGAGACACTGACCAATTCTAGAGTGTACTCACTTTTTGAGTACACAAAAAGATTCAAATTTAAGCACTTTTTACCTAGTCGTGAACCTTTTGGCAATTATTATGTTTTACTTTTTATTTAAGCTAAGATTTCTACATATTAGTATCATCTATGTTATTTTATTCATCATATCTTATGATTATCGATATACATTGAATTGACATCATATTGTATTTAAAAATTTTGAAACAGAACTTCAAATGTATTGATATCTAGCGGCATCTCTTCATTTATTTCCTGCTTGTATGATTAAATATAGTTTTATCCAATGATAATTTTACATAAATTTTTTTTTTTACGACAGATAGTTTGAAAAAGACAAAATTCATTGTATGATAAAAATGCTTCGAATATACTCCAGTAAGATACTTTTATCTTTTCTTTTTCTCTCTATCACAAAATTCTTTTCTATAGATCATCCAATATTTCGATTAATCTATCGATCTATGTTATCATTACCTACATATGAAACATTGAAATTAAGTCAACCGAAACCACATGTAACTCTTGTTGAATTAAATCGACCAACAAAACTTAACACTATGAATAAACAATTATTCGAGTAGGAGAAAAAAAAATTCGTTTTT